AAAAAAAAGGAAAAAAAAAAAAAAAAAAGGAAAAAAAAAAAAAAAAGGGGTCTGTCACTGTTTGGGGATGTGGGTGGGGTGGGCTCCATCCTGGAGGGCTTTTCCAGCCTTAATAATTCCATGACTCTACAAAAAAATAACCCCAAAATCCAACGTGAATGTGGAAAAAATTGACCTTGCAGGACCACAAGAGAAATAACAGGGATATTAAAGGAATTCCGAGACGGGTGACACTCAATCCTGCCAAAATAATCCTCCATCCCACTTTTCCTTACAACCTGCTCCCTTTAAAAAGGTGTTTTGGTGGAATCATGGAACATCTGAAGCTGGAATGGAGCCCCGAGGATCGGATTCCAGCTCCCTAAAACTCAACTGTGGCACTGAGAGCAGCTCCCAGGTGCTCCCTGAACTCCAATTCCAGCAGGTCTGGAGGGGGCAGGATGGTCCCCAAGGAGCACAGGTGACACATTTGAGGAAGGAGAGGGATTTTTCTATGGGCAGACAGTGACAGGAATGGTTTTGAACTGCCAGAGGGGGCAAGGAGTGATGGGATCTTGGGAAGGAATCGTTCCCTGGGAGGGTGGGGAGGCCCTGGCACAGGTTGCCCAGAGAAGCTGGGGCTGCCCCTGGATCCCTGGAAGTGTCCAAGGCCAGGTTGGAGCAACCTGGGATAGAGGAATGTGCCCCTGGGGGTGGAACTGGATGAGCTTTAAGGTCCCTTCCAACCCAAACCATTCCATGATTCCATGTTTCACCCCCAATCCCTCCAGCCTGGTGTGAGTTCCCCACGTTCCTCCCCCCTGGATTTGTCCTGACGAACAAACCAACCCCCCGAGCAAAAATAAACGAGGACCAACCTCCTGGAGAGAACAGAGCCTTTGGGATTGTGCCTCTTCCAGGCCGATCCCCTAAGTGTGGAGCAGGGAAGGAGGTGGGAGGGAGCCCTTACCAAGCTTGATTCTTCAGTTTTCTCAGCTCTTTAGTCGCCCAGGTCGCGAGAGTTTTCGTTTTGTTCGTCTTGGATCTCCTCCCTTCCGTTAGCAGTTCATGGATCATGGGTCTGGCTTCTACTAATTTCAGAACATCTTTCCCAAATGCTGTACACAAATCCCTGGAAGGAGGGGAGAGAGAGGCTCTGAGCACCACAAACAGCTGTGCCAGCAGGCAGAGCTGTGACTCACAGATCCTTTGGAAAACGCTGCAGATGGTCACTGATTCCAGGCCTGCGACTGAAAGGGATGTTCAGCCTCCTGTCCCAGGGCTGATCTGCCCTAAATTCAGCAGCAAAGACTAAAACACCCCAGACTGGGTCTCCTCTGTACCCTGAGGACGGGAGGCTTTTTGCTTCTGAGCTTTTCTGTTTCAGCTCATCCCTTTAAAAACCCTAAATCTGGAATTCCCGTGACAACCTCCACTTCCACCTCCCGGTTTCCACCTGTGTGACGCCTTCACGGCCCGAGTTAAACACCCAGCACTGCTGTAAAACCCCAGAGCTGACGTTAAACACTTGAGACAGGCAGGAGAAAGGGCAGATTGCAGGGATTCTGGAATGGGGGGAAGGCCTTACCCTATGAGCCCGGCAGCACAGGCCACCACCCCATCCGTGTGATCCTCGTCCCCGGCGATGTGGTCGATGTAAGACAGGATAAATTCTACTCTGGGCTGCACCAGCATCACATCAGCTGCAAGGGAAAGGCTCTGTCAGAGCAGGGGGACACAGGGACAGCGTGACAGGGCTTCCAGGGCTTCCAGAGATCCCAAAACAGGCGGAATCTGACCCAAAAGAGCTTCTCTGACAGGGAGGGGAAATGCTGCCAGAGGAAAGGGCTCTAAACACATTCCCTGCTTGTGGCAGCAGAGTGTTCACTCCCACAGGGGAGGGAATGAACGGGGATATTCCCATGGATGTGATAACCATGGAGAAAAGGTGCTCAGGGGGGACCTTATTCCTCCCTGGAAGGAGGTTGGAGCCAGGTCGGGCTCTGATCCCAGAACAAGGGACAGGACAAGAGGAAAGGGCCTCAAGCTGCAGCAGGGGAGGCTCAGATGGGATATCTGGGAAAATTTCTTCATGGAAAGGGTTGTAAAGCACCGGCACAGGGCAGCGGTGGAGTCACATCCCTGGAACATCCAAAACACATGTGGGATGTGGCACTTGGGGACGTGGGTCAGAGGTGACACAGCAGTGCTGGGCTGACAGATCCTTAAGGATCTTTTCCAACCTCAGCATTCCCGTGATCCCAGCAGAGCTGCCCCCCCCCAGCCCAGGGTACTCACGGTGCACGTTCTCCTGGTCTCCCTTCAATCCCTGGATGATCCCAGTGTAGGCTTCCAGGCAGCCCTCCCTCAGCTCGTTCAGGTAATCCACCATGTCATAGTCAGACTGGAAAGGGCCACAGGAATGGGAATGAGACCCTGGGAAGGCCCCGAGGACGAGCACAGCCCGTTGCTGGGCTGGGCACACCTTACCTTGTCCACCTGTGCCTGGGATGCCTGTTGGAGGGTGTTCAGCACCACGTCCAGGTACTTCTTAAACTCCCCCCCAATGGCCAGGGCGATGTCCCCAAACACTGAGAGGATCTGGGGCTTCACAGACCTATGGACATTTTCATTCTGGAAGAGATTCCAGCAGGGCCAACGTTCAGTTTTTTGGGAAGGGGACGGAGCCAATAAATGCAGGTTATTTACTCCAAATGCAAATCCTTGCCCCCAATAAGTTTGGATCCCGTTCAAATAGTAAGCAAGATAGTTGTCAAACAGGAGATGATCCGAGCATTCCTAACACTTGTGCTTCTCCCACCTCCCACCTCCCTCGGGAGTGTGCAGCCAACTGTTACTAATGAGGAGGGAAACACTCACCCCCAAGTTCTCCAGGAGCAGCTGCATAACCTCGTCACAGAAAGGCAGGATGTTGGACTGCAGGGCTCTGCACAAGTCCCCAACCAGGCCCACTGCAGACAGGCAGACCTGCAAATAGCACAGCAACACCCCCACCGTGAGTCAGTCACTGCTCCAGCCTCCCGGATCCCGCTCCTTCCAGCACTCTGGAGTGGGGAGAGGTTAATTAAACCACGGGGAATAACGACCCTGAGAGCAGCTGAGGAGTCCCTGGGCAGTCCCTGCTTCCTTAACCCCAGAGCTGAGATCCAGGTGCCCACAGAGTGACAGGGATTGAGTCTGAGCAAACCCAACCACGTCATGTCTCAGCACCCACCCCCTTGGAGGGCACCAGGGCTCGACATTCCAATGGGAAATCCCATCCAGCAGAAACTCCTTCCTCATCAAGGCCAGCAAATGTGCAGTGTCCAGGCACTGGATGCTTCTGCTTCACTAAGTCTGAATTTATGCACAGAATTAGATTGGTTTGGGCTGGAAGGGACCTTAAAGATCATCACATTCCACCCCTTGCTGTGGGCAGGGACACCTTCCACTAGCCCAGGTTGCTCCAGCCTGGCCTTGGACACTTCCAGGGATCCAGGGGCAGCCACAGCTTCTCTGGGCAAAGGGAGCAAAGTCTTGGATCTCTACCTGGTACTCGGCATAGTTCTTCAGTCCAATGCCAAGGAAGGGTTTGAAGGCATCCATGTACTTCAGGAACTCTCCACCTAAGACTGTGCGTGGAAAATATTCCAGTTAGAAAGAAAAAAAACCCCATTTGTGACTGGAATCCTATTTTGCTGGAGTTCAACAAGTCAGAGGCTCATCACTGCATCCCACCCAAACCCAGTGGAAATCAATTCTCCTCCAGGCAACACCCAGGAAATGAGGGGCACTGAAATGTGTCCAGGGCCACCTGGAGATTCCCAAGAGCCAAATTCCCTGCGGATTTTTGCCACTGTGATTTGTGATAAACAAGAGCAGTGGCTGTAAATCCACTGCCAGAACAGCCCTGAGTCACCAGGGGGGGTGAATCACTCAGGTAACATCCAATCTGTCCTGGAGCTGCTCCAAGGGAACAGGTTCCCTTGGGATGGGAACTGGACAGAGCAGCACTAATTTGAGGTGGTTGTTTTTTTTCCTGGCAAAATTTGCTCTGTGGCAAGATTATAAACTGAAATCAAACCATTCCTTCGTGGAACAGAAATCTGGAATAACCAGCCAGGCTCAGACATGGTGAGATTATGGAACACAGGATGGTTTGGGTTGGAAGGGACCTTAAGGATCATCCAGTTCTACTCTCAGGGACACCTCCCACCAGCCCAGGTTGCTCCAAGTCCCTTGGACACTTCCAGGGATGGGGCAGCCACAGCTTCTCTGGGAACTCCATTCCAGCCCCTCCCCACCCCCACAGGGAAGAATTCCTTCCCAGTATCCCCTTCCTGAGTCCATTTCTCCAGGTAAAGGAGGAGCAACGACACACAGATCTGCAGAGTCAGACTTGACATTCCAATGGGAAATCCCAGCCAGCAGAACCTCCTTCCTCACTAAGGTCAACAAATGTCCAGTGTCCAGGCACTGGAAGCTTCTGCTGGATTAACCTGAATTTGGGTGCAGAATTAGAAGAGTTTGGCTGGGAAGGACCTCAGAGATCACCACATTCCATCCCCTTCCACTGGCCCAGGTTGCTCCAGCCTGGTCTTGGACACTTCCAGGGATGGAAGTGCAACGAGGCTGGGGAAGGGACTGGAGCACAAGTGCTGTGAGGAGAGGCTGAGGGAGCTGAGGTTGTTTAGCTGGAGAAGAGGAGGCTCAGGGGAGACCTCCTCACTCTCTGCAACTCCCTGACAGGAGGGGGGAGCCGGGGGGGGTTGGTCTCTTTTCCCAGGCAACCAGCAGTAGGACAAGAGGGCACAGTCTCAAGCTGTGCCAGGGGAGGTTTAGGTTGGATATTAGGAAGAAATTTTTTACAGAGAGAGTAATGAGCCATTGGAATGGGCTGCCCAGGGAAGTGGTGGATTCTCCATCCCTGGAGGTTTTTAAGCTGAGACTGGATGTGGAATCAGTGCCATGGGCTGGGAACCACGGCAGGGTTGGATCAAGGGTTGGACTTGATGATCTCAGAGTTTTTTTCCAACCCAGCTGCTTCTATGATTCTATGATTCTGTGATTTTATGATTCTATGAAGTGCAGCCACAGCTTCCCTGTCCCAGGGGTGCTCACACGACGCCTCAAGCAAAACCAGCACCTGATGCTATTTCCACCCCCCCCAAACCAAACCAGCAGGATCCAAAGCTGCCCTGCCCTGTCCCAGCCCAGAGCTGACCTTCCACCAGGGTGCTGACGGCCATCAGGGCGTCCTCCTGCACTCCCCCCGAGCCCGCCGTGCTCTGGAACATCCTCAGCAGCGAGGCCATGACCACGTCCGAGATCTGCAGGGCATCCTGGTGCTGCACCTTCCTCAGCACGTTCTGCAGGGACAGGAGGGCACACCACCACTCTTTCCATCCCTCTGAGCCCACATGAAGCTTTTCCACCCCCCCTTCTCCCCCCTCTTCCCCAGAAAGGAAGCTGCTGTTTGAACTCCGCCGCCGCAAAATCCCTTTTCATTCTGCTCCCATTCAATTCTGCAGCCACAGGATGAGCTGAATTTACCTTTCCTGCTGCATAGGCTGTTCTCCCAGCTTTCCATTTGTAAGCTGGAATTAAATGTGACCAGCCCAAATCTGATCCTATGAGAACAAAAAAAGCAAGGAGGGTCCCTTTTCTCTGCCACGGCACCGTGAGGGTGAGCTCGGGCGGGCCCAACTTTAGAAATGCTGGTTGTTGAAGGAAAACACTTTTTATGGGAAGAGAAGGACCAATTCCTTATAATAACAATCATTTTAAGGTTGATTCTTCACTCCAAAGAGATGGACTCGGGCTGTTTAAATAATTAAGCCTTGATTTGTAGAATTAACAGGGTGGTTTGGGTCGGAAGGGACCTTGGAGATCATCAAATTCCAACCTTCCACTAAGCCCAGGTTGCTCCAAGCCCTGTCCAAACTGGCCTTGGACACCTTCAGAGATGGGATTTTCTCGTTCCTCTTAAATATTAACAAATGGATTTCTGGCAGAATAACAAAAAATTCTGTAACAAAACAGTGTATGTGACCATTCAACAGTGAAAAAAGCCCCTCTGCTGAGTTTTACTCAGTGGAATTTAAGTATTTGCTGCAACTGAGAAAATGCTTTAGGTTCAGATTTTGGGATAATGAAGAAACACATGTTTATAAATTAAAATTGGCGGTTTAATTCCACTTCTCTTACACTCCCCAGGGGCAAACAAAGCTGTGCTGGGAGAGATCAGGGATCACCAGAAGGAGATTCCAGACACTGAATCTCCCCATTAAAGCCCAACTTAAGGACAGATTATTCCCATCTACCCATTATTTTTCAAAATTAACCTAAAAATTGGAGAGTGAAAGCAACCATAAGGCTTTTGAGGGAGCAGATGAATGATTCCTCAAATCAGCCTGGAGACAAACAGCCCAGATTCCAACGGGGTGCTCTGAGCAATCTCCTGAGAGCTGATTTTGGGGGGGAAAAAAAATAAATAAAAGTGTTTTCAGTGGGATCTGTAGGAGTAACCAAGGAACTGCACTGCCCTGGTGCTCCCAGTCACACTGCTCATTACCAGATGTTTCATTTCAAGGCCTCTTGGTGCCTTTTAATTAGAGCCATTTGAAATAAGAACACCAACCACAGGAGGCAGATGAAGGAACTCGAGCCGTGCTGGAGGTTTTTTTTTTTTTTGCCTGTGCCAAGCAAAGGGGTTGTTCAGGCTGTAGCCAACACAGGAGCCAAGCTGACAGCACATACAATCCTTTATCCCACCTTTAACAGGCTGCCCACAGTGTTCCTGCTTCAAATTGCCCTAAATTCTGCCACCGGAGCGCGACTCGAGCCTTCTGATCCTCGTCTCACCTCCCACGTGTCAGCTGGGACACAAATCCACTTTTCCTCATTCAGATCTGATCAACAGGCCCCGAGCCTGGCTCCTCAGGGGCACAGGAGCATCCCCAGAGCCACCCCAGTCCCATAAAACCCCCCGAGGGACAGCGGGACACTCACCTGGAGAGTCGCGCACAGGAGGGACTGGAGGTCGTTGAACTGGATTCTGTCTGAGGTGCTCTGGATGTGAGACTGGAACACAAGGGAAAAGAGGCTGCACTGGCTTCTGACAACACCAGCACATCCACACTGTGTTTAAATATTTGGTTTTTTAGTGGGTTTTTTTGTTTGTTTGTTTGTTTTTAAATTTAAGACAAGAGGGACTGCGCAGAACCTTAAAAGAGAATCCCAGGATCTTAAATCCCACCCAGTCCCACCTTCCACCAGCCCAGGTTGCTCCAAGCCTTTCCAACGTGGCCTTGGACACTCCCAGGGATGGAGCAGCAGCTCTATAAGGGGGGAGGCTGAACTGGGATTTACCCACCTCCATCTGCAGCACTTGCTGGAGCCGCTCCATGATGACCAGGGTTGTTTTTTGGACAGCAGGATAACAGTCCTTGGCACTGTTTTTCACTATTTCCATCAGGGATTCATATGCAGAACTCCTCAAGTTATTCTGGTGTCCATCAGGCCTGGAACAGAAGGGATAATTTGCAGCTCCCAGTGGCTCAGCCTTGCTTAGAAACAGACTTTTTTTTTTTTTTTTTTAATTTTAGTAAACCAGCAACAGCCACATTTCAGTGCTGTGACAAGCAGCACTTGCATCCCTGCATTGCAAGCCTTGAAAGCAAAGGAAATTTATGAAGCCACTTTTAGCACTTTTTTTTTTTTTTTTCCCCCCAATTCTCTATTAATGATTTTCAGCATCTGGGAAGGAGGAGAGGGAGAGGAAAAGCCTCGAAGCCCCCAGAGAGAGGTGAGCAGCACATCAGTGCCCCTCTGGCACCCCCCTGACACTGAGCTGGGACAGAAAGACAGCTGAGAGTGACTGATGGGCTCCAGAGCCTTGAGCCAGACTCTCCTGTCTGGATGGAAATTAGGCAGGGAGAGCTTGGGCTGAGCTCCTCAGACGAGGAACACTTGAAGGAGGATCAATCCTGCAGCAAAAAGGCTCCAGACTGAGCTGAGCCAGGCACTGAACTCGGAGCTGTGGGGATTTATGGGACCTCCAGGGCACGATAAAACTGCAGCTTTACCCTGAGTTTTCACATCTGCAGGGCTGGGAGCAGAAATCTTTTGCCTCGGTGGGAAGGGATGGAACCTCCAGGGGAAAGGGATGGAGGGGAACAGGCAGGGAAATGTGGAATTCTGGTGGTGTCCTGCTGAAATTCCTGGTTATCCAGTGGCCCTGCAGCCAACCTGGCTAGGTGTGAAACTGGGCACTTAAAATTCAGATTGAAAGGAAAGTAGAGGGGGGTCAAAAAAAAAAAATAGGAGATTCAAGATAAAGTAGGAGAGGTTAAAAGTAAAATAAGGGAGACTGGAAGTAAGAGAAGAGATTCAGAGGAAAACTGGGGGGATTCAGAGGAAAACTGGGGGGATTCAGAGGAAAACTGGGGATTGGAAGTAAAA